AAAAAAAAAAAAAAAAGCAAGAGCGATTATGTAATAATCATTTAAATGAACTCACTCTTTGTCCCTGGAACTAACACTCTCATTATCAGGAGCATTTAATATATTCCCTATGGGAAGCAGGCTGCTGTCTGTCAGTCTTCCTTCTCTTTCATTGGCTATTTCAGCAATTAGAGAGGAAAACATTTTCTCTTTTTTAATCCCTTAAGTCTATATAAGGAGCATTCCATATGCTTTGAATCATAAAATTACCTGTCTTTTTTTTTTTTTTAGGTGAGTACTGATGGAAATATATTGTAAGAAAGAGCCAAGGGTTTACAAGTTAATCTTTTTCGTTTGTTTTTACTGACTTAGGAAACCATTTTTTGTGGTGCCCAGTTCAAAATTCTGCCTGTAATTTGATTGTAAACCCAATTTTGTGCAAAAGTTAAAGCCTAGAAAAGAAGCTGTTATTTACAAAGGAAGATGGTGCCCTGATCCATGCTGAGAAGGGCAAGCCCTGGAGCTGAGTTTCAGAAAAGGTTTGCCATAGTCTATATGGATGTCTGGCTGTCCCCTGTGACAGTGCCATCAGGCAAGATTAGAGGGGCTGAAGGACCCACTGGATTCAAGTCCTAACCCAGTGAACTAAGCAGGCACAGAGATCAGCGAGGTGCTGAGAATGCTAGAAATGTGGAAATTAGTCATTCATAATCATATCTGAACAAAACAAAAGAATGAAAAACGGAATCAATCTTCTGTCTCCGGTAGATGTCACATTGAATTGCAACACTCTAATTTATAAAAAGCTGACCATAAGAACTTTTAAAAATGAAGCAGCTCATTAGTGGAGTCTGCTAATGGCAGCTGGGTCTGGTGCTATGGAGGGTTGGGATAGGGGCAGTCAGGGCTTTTCCTACTAATGGGTGTTTAAAAAACAAAGCAGTGTTTCACATGTGATTTGCTCAAATTACTTCACTTGTGAAATTAGTAAATCCCTAAACAGGTGTGTCAGAGCCACTTTCTATGTTTAAACCTGGCAAACCAATTCCCTTCATAGAAACTGCTGCTGACCTGGACTGAATAAGTCTCTCATGAGAAAGAAAATCTGAATCCCGAGACTACAAATGATAATCAGACCTATTCTACAATTTTGTGAAATGTAAATCTTTCCTAAAGGAACTTTCAAATTCATGCTTATGGGGCAGAGTAAGTCAGAAATGTCAAACTGCTAGTGACAAGTACTTGCAGAAGTGCTTCTTCAGGGACTCTGTCAGTCTCTGCAAAGACAGGCTGGTTAACTTTCCAGCACTCTTGGGATGAAAATACAAATTGTGGGCAGTTATACTCATGTTACAGGGAACAGATTGGACAATACTTTTATAAGGAAATGCATAGGATCCACAGCAGGAGCAACGGCAAATCCATGTCTACCATTCTGTTAGGCACTCTCCCAGCTGGGAAAACAGCAGCATTTCCTTGTGCTATGAGCCCAAAGAGAACAAATCTCTGACAATGTTGCTTGGAAGGAGTATGTGGACTCCTAGTGGAAGTTGCTCCAGCCAGCCTTCCTGAGTTGTGGTCATGATGAAGGCAGAGATCCAAGCTGGAAATTCACGGTCCTACACCATTCCATCCATTCTGTAGCGAACTTTGCCAGGTAAATCCTGTTCAAGACTCTTTCATGCCAATCCTGTTCTCCTGATACATCTGTCTAATATGTGTGGAGCCCTGATTCACTTTTGGGATGTTATCTTTTTAAAAAAAGACACTATGTTTCAAGAGCATGGAAGGACAGATGTGTGTGTATGTCCTGAATAAATATGTAACAACAATAATATTAATATTAGCTGTCATTTATTGAGCTCTCACTTTGTGCTAGGGACAATACTAAGTACTTTGTATACATCAATCTGTTTAATTTCTATAACAACCCGTATGGAAAGATGCCACTATTAACCCCACTTTACAGGTAAGAAAACTGAGGTGCAAAGAGGCAAAATGAATGGAACCCTTGCTCTTAACACACAGGTGTCAAATGGTCTGGTAGGACTAGTACTCGTGTGTTTATCACTAATCCCATGCATTTAACTAAAATACTTCAATCTCCTGCTTCATAATGGTTAAAATATCTCTGACCTGGTTGAGCATTTATTCCACTTTGTAGAACTGCAGAGAAAAATCATCCAATTATTTGTCCATTTCTACATCACTTTATAACTTCTATGGCCCAGGCTCCAGAAATTGCACTTAAATTTACTTTCAGGGAAGATAAACTGTTCTAAAAAGCTGCAGTGTCCAATATGGTAGCCACTAGCCACATGTGGCTATTATACATGTAAAATGTGGCCGGTGTGACTCAAGAACTGAATTTTTCATTTTATTTAATTTTACCTAATTTAAATTTAAATACCCACATATGGCTAGTGACTACCACATTGCACAGCTCATCTCTAGAGGGAAAATTATGGTGCTCATTGAACTGAAACTATTTCATTTATTCCCTCAACCAATAGTTTTTGAGAGCCTACTATACACCAGACTCATTACAAGGCATTATACAGAATGTGGTGGACAAACAGATGTTGGTTTCTGACCAAAAGGAAGAATAAGAGAAAGAGCCAGAGATGTTGGAGAAAAGCAGGGGAGTCTGTCATCATGGAAACTCTGAGAGGAGAAAGGTTCTCAAAATCTGGGTTCCTGCTCTCCTGCTAAGAAGACAGAGAGATATGAGCTGCATATGTCATCCCAAGAAACTTGGTTGCCTTATCAAGAGCAGTTTCAGTGAATTAAAGGCATCGAAAGCCGGATGAGGAGGGTTAGAATAAATAGAAGACGAGAAAATGAAGAAGATAAACTGTGTTGACAATACTCTTGAGAATTATTGCTTAAAAGGGTAGTAAAGAAATGGGGGTGATATCCGAAGGGGCACGCACGGTCTAGGCATCTTGCATACCACATATGTGTAGGCCAAAGGGAAAAATCTAATAGAGAAGGAAAAGTTGACAAGGCAGAAAAGGGCAGGGTGTTCTTGAGAATGCAGGAAGGGAATAACTTCCAGAGACCAATGAGAGGGGCACTTCCTCAGGTAAGAGAAAGAGAGAGAAGCTGGACACAAGTAAGTGCAGGTTTGCAGATTTGTTCACTTAACTGAACCAAGCTGCCCTGGAGACCACCTTAGCCAGGAGTTGTATTCAAAGGAAGTCAGTCTATTATTCAAACATAATTGAAAAGCAATTAAATATTTTTTGCAGTCTCTGAAGAAATCCCCAAAGGAAATTACATTAATAATACATAATAAAACAACACTTCCAAAACCCCTCTCTCTTCCTCTCTCTTTCTATTTCCTGCTCTAACCTCTATGTCTCTATCTTTTCTTGCCACTCCTAAATTCCAAGAAAATCTCTTACTAAAAATATAAGTGGAGTGAGATGAAATGATATCAAACACTAGCTCTAAAATTTTATGATTCTATAAATGATAGAAGCTGAAATTTAAAACTCCACCTTTCAATTTGGGAGAGGCCGGGCAAGCTTGGAGGTAATCTGAGGGCTACTAAGTTTTCTGTATAAAGTTACTGTGTCACATCATACTGTATGTAAAAAACTAATTTGGAAAACCCCAAAATTGCAAGGAAAATTAGTATGGGTGAAAAAGAGGTTTTGGAGGAGGCAGGAGAAGAAGGAAAAGGACCACAGAAGAGTTGGGGAATCAGGGCCAGCATTGCCAAGCTCCGAGGAGAAATTAGAGATGTAGATGGAGGCATAACATCTGTTCTGTTCCAAACAGCTTTTGTTGCCAAATTCACCTCCTCTCCTTTCCTTGCCTCAGCCAGGCCCTGTCTCCCTTTCTTTGAAATGATATAAATAGGAAAAAACTCACCAAAGAGTGGAAACTACTCTTAAACCACATCCCAAATAAGATGAGTGCACTTGGGCACATAGGATGATAACACTGCAACCAGAGATTTCAACTAGTTGTGTGGCTTTTTTAATTCAAGGGCAAGCAAAGGGAGGAGGTAGAGTAACTTACCTCTTAAGCTGTTTGTTTGAAAATAATATGCAGAAAGGGAAAAACAATCCTCAACTAACAACTGCCTTCCTCGCCATCTGCTTAATCTAAACATTAGCATATCACGTAGCTGGGTGAACTCGAGTTGCACCGGGAATGGAGCGCTCTGCTCCACGTTTGCAGACCCTTGGTGGGGGAGTCAGGTGCGAATTCTCAGTGGGATTAGGTGGGCTTTCTGGGCTTCCAACACATGCATTTAGGGCCACATTTTCAGTCCAGCCTTAACTCATCAAACTACGACTGGAGGCAAAATTGTGCCTGGCTTAATTAGCACAAGGACTAATCAAGTACTAATGAAATTTGCCCACAAGCAGTTCTTCAGACTAGGGCACAAGGAGTGCACACAATTTCCGTATATATCACTTAGCATGTCAGCACAAAAGGAGGGAGGTAATGAACAATTCCTCCCTAAAATGTGCTGCAGGCTAACCACAGGCAAACATCTTCGCTCCCCAGAAGTCATCCATTAGTTTCAGCAGCGTAAACTCTGTAAGTCCTCAGTCTGCAAACCGCGGCCCAATTTGCGACATCAGATTGCAAATTTATAAAAATATAGAGAATGTTATCAATGAAGACACTTCATTCCCACAGATTTATGAGCTTCTTAAGACCTGAATTTGGAAATGACTGCGATCTGTAATGTGCCTTAAAATATATAGGCGGTCTCCCGAGCTAAAACATCAGTTCTTAAGAGGCGGCCATAATGTTGGAAAACAGACCGATTTGTTTAAACTCAGAAAAATGACAAAAAGGAGGCCCGATTTTATCTCTTCCATCAGGGATATATCCTTAGTCTTACTATGTTTTAAATCTGCTATTAAGATCTGTCCAAGCATGAGAGCTTATTTACAGCACAAATATTAATTACACTGAGGAAGATGCCTTCAATCTATCAATTAAATCCCACTAATCGGAGATGCAGTAAGCACATTGAAATAAGTATTTACATAATCAAGCTTCGCACAGAGGAAACATTTTTGCTCTGGGTATTTATGGTACTTCGCCAAAAATAAAATTCTGGGTCATCCATTATTGGGGGACACAGGAGAAACAGTGATTAATTCCCGGAGCAAGGTCACGTTGAAAAGCCAGGCAGAAAATTAAGAGAGGGCTCCGCAAGGACCAAACGCTGCCATTCCTTCTGCCTGTAAACTCCACTCCTTCCTCGGAGGGCTGTTACACTTCTCAGGAGAAAGGATCTCACCTTTAAGAAGCTGAAACTTACCCACTTGAACAGGTGCAAGGGCCGGATGATGGGTTGTTCTCTTTATGGACTATCGACAAACATCCCTTAAAAAAATAATGATCAGTGGTGAGTGCTAAAAACCAGCCCAGTCACACAATGCCTTCATAAAACGAAATCCAGGAGAGAGGAAAGCAAATATCCAGAACCAGGGTGACCAGAACGCAACCTGTCTGTCACCTGTGGTCCCTCGCCATGAAAGCCTCCCAAACAATTCCAGTTAAGGACAAGAGATTAATTTTGATATTGACTTCTCCTGCCCTTTCAAAGATGCTGTTGGCTGGGAATTGCGTTATGCTCACTTTTCCGTTTGTAAACATATCAAATTCATCTCTATAGGACAATGGAAAGGAGAAAAAAATGAATTTCTTATCATTAGTGAGTTTTATTTTTCTTACTTAAATGAAGGCTTGTGAACTATAAAGAGTGTACGAATTTAACATGCTGTAAAAACAAGAAGTCATGCGCACCACAGCCATTAACAAAATTTAAGCCTGACATTCTTCAAAGGAACCAAGGGCCCCATCTGCTGATGCTTAAATGTACTACAGTAGCACATGAATTAAGAGGAGCACATGGAGAAAGAATTTACTGAACTAAAATACAACTAAAAAGCCTGAGTTGGGGAATCTGGGGAGCAGAAGGCACCTTTAGAAGTTGGAGCACCTGCCCCTCTCCTCCTCTTCGGTATTGGGGGCACCTGTTTGGAAGGCACTCTGAGCAGATACGCAGTCACTGTGTCCGTGTTTCTTTTTGTTCGGTTTTTAGTCCCCAGGAGCTCCAAGCATACAGCCTTATAAAGGAAAGAGCGTAGGTAGGATAGAACAACACAATTTCGGAGTCTAGTCACAGCTCTGTCAAATAGTCACTATTTACACATTCTCAACTTGCTTTTACTCACCTTAAGGAAAAGGTTCAGAGTGTGTGAGCTTTAATTCCTTTCATCTTAGCTCCCAAATTCAATGGATTATCCATAAAGGTAGAGGGAATACCGTAGAAATCTTTATATCAACAGAGCACATTGCATACATTAGGTGTTCCACAAAAATATAAGTAATTCCTAAGTAAATCTCCAGTTTATCAAAGTCATTTGAAGAAAGTAAGCAATTTTGCCTTCTGAACTGCTTAGAATATCACATAGTAGGTATTTGTCCAAATAATGAATGAAGTGCTTTATGCCCCAAACTGCCCTTCCCCGTTAGTTAACCCTCCTACTACATCACTGGGATCAAAAGGAATGAATTTTACTGGAGGTCCAGCAAGGTCTCAGGAGCATGTGGTTTACTGGGTTTGTAGGTGGTGTGGTCGTCTGTGATTGGGAGACTGGATCTACATCCCTTTTTGGATGAATACCTGATTTTCCTCCTTTGCACCTGCCCCACCCATTCAACTCCTAACTGTACTTTTTCCTCAGTCATATAAAGAAAAGCTAGTTGGAGCACCTCATTGATTAAAATATCATTTCTCTGCATTTTTAATCTAAGTCATTTACTCCTTTCATACCTTGTTCCCAAGCACCTCCAACATAACAGCTCTTTCCCATACCTCGTCCCCAGAACTGCTCTCCTTTGTTTCTTACCCACCTCACTATGACACCACCACCCACCAACTCGGTCAAACTGAAACACCAGCATTTCTTTCCCCATCACCCATCATGTCTTAATGAGTTACCCTGTATAGCCGATCCTATTCAAGTAATATTTCTTCAGCATAATTACCTCCTCTCCACTCCTACCTACAGTAGGAATTCCTTTCATCTCTTACCTGAACTATCCTCCTACCTGTGTCTCTGCCCCCAGTCCTGCCATGTTTATATACCTCTTTCATCTGCCCCCAGGATGATGTATCTAAAATGTAAATGTGACCTTGTCATTCCCCAGCCAGCATAAAAGACAATGGTTTTCCACTACTTTCCCTATGCATCTTAACCTGGATTCTGCCTGCTCTACTCTTACCTCCCACCACTCTGGACTTTCTTAGAAAGTCTCAGGAAGATGAAGCCATATGTGCTTCAGTCCCTAAAACATATTTCATCCTGCCTCCAATTCCTCACTCATGCTATATTCTCTGCCCGGTATAGCTTCCCACCCCTTCTTCTCCTAGCTAACTTTGATTAGACCTTATAGCCACTGCTTGAGTATCATCTTTCCTAAGGGACTACCCCTGGACATAGCCAAGTGGTTCAATTCTACGACCTAGAGAATTCCGTGCAACACAACCTCCAGGCACTTACAGGGCTAAATGTCAAGTAAACATACCAGCGCAGTGCCTGTGCTAATGCCTCCTTCTGCATGAAGCCTTTGATGGACAGACAGCTGGCTCTTAGTCCTGTGTTTACCATATGACCTCACCCTCTTGTCACAGTTGATTGAATCGGGGGTAGGCGCAGTGTGTAAAAGGGCAGCCAGACTTCTTTGAAAAACATGGGCTGAACCAATTCTATCCCGTTTCTAAGTATTTTGAACTAAGGAATACAGAGAGGACGTTAGAAGCAGGGGCAACCCTGAAAACCCATCCATTATGTAGAGAAAAATCATGACTGGCCCCTCACCAGAAGTTTCAGTGAGCAGAAACCACAAGTTAAAGGAATGAAACAAAGAAGTTAAGAGACTTGTGTCAACTACTCTGAAATGACTGAAACTCCCCAGGGCCACCAGAATCCAGAACCACCCTTCAATTCTTGCTGTTTCTAAAATCAAGAAACTCTGTTCCCCTGAGGTGTTGTGTGCTTGTCTTCTTATAATAACCTAACACAGGGAGTAGGAGCCGAGTCTTAGTTCTAGTAAGGAAAGGATTCCAACCCAAACAGCACTGCACATTCGTCTTTCTTCATTGGTCTTTGCCACTAGACTACAGGCTCCCTAAGGGAAAGGAACGGATGAAGTGTGGAATATAGTAAACACTAAATAAAACAGATATTGAAATCCATGAATGGGAAACCAAATAGGAGAAGGCTGTAGGAGGCAGATGATAGGGATCTGCTGCCAGTAAGCTTAGGTTAACTATAAGGGAATTTATATAAAACAACAAGAGAGTATAATTGTCTCATCAATTTCTTAAAATAAAGATATTTTCTTTTTAACAGACAGTTATGCAAGGGAAATTTTTCCATACCACTCTCTATCTTATAAAATATGGGGCCTGGAATTTGATGCTATGTACACTTCTTTTTTTAAAATCCTCGCCAGAGGATATGTTCATTGATTTGAGAGAGAGAGAGAGAAACATGGATGTGAGAGAGAAACACCTATGGGTTGCCTCCCGTATGCACCCCAACCCAGGATCAAATCCACAAATTTGGTATGTGCCCTGACCAGGAATCGAAACCACAACCTTCTTGGTGTATACTCCAATTACCTGAGCCTCCCACCCAGGGCTAGGTACACTTCTTGATTACATTTTTATGCATTAATTAAATATGAACTTAATGATCACCTATTATGTGCTTATTAGCACATTGCTAAATGCTATGAAAGATACAAAACCAAAATGTAAAATTCCTGTTCTTAAGAACCTTATTTTCAGCATGCTTATATGCAGCTTCCCTATCACCCTGCTCCCTAAAATTTAAGCATTTTGAAGCTAATTTAATGATCTATATACCTTGCTCATAATAAAAGCTTTCTAAAAAATGTAGTATTTTTAAAATTCCACAAGTTCTAGCTTCTTGCCCCAGTTAATCTAGTAAAGGCATGGTGAAATATTATCAGCAGTAGACTTCATTTTTTTGACTACTTCAGCCACAATAAAGAGATTATGAAAATTTTAAATGCCTTGCAACTTAAAGCATATAAACTCTATTTTTCAAACTGTATGAATAGCTGGAAGAAGCAGCTAAGAGTAAAGGCAAGCGGGGAATTGCAGAATAAAACTTTCATAAAGTCTCTGAGATGTCTAGTGAGGAAGTCTCAGGGCTGACTGTTAGGATGATTTAAAACCTTAAACACCATTTTGTTGACACATAATTCTTTTATATATTTTCAGTATATAAATTGTGAGCTCCTCTAAAGGAAACACAGTTTTTCACAGTGAAAACAAAGAAAAAAAGCCTCTAACTCTTATTACATTTTAAGCACTAGGTAACTTTGCAAGCGGGTAACCGAGTTTATGAAATCATGTAGGTCAGCACTCTGCGAATCGGTGTGGCGGGAAGCATTTCCTGAGCAGACTCTCTATTGACACACATCTAACCGTTTTCACATTTAATATTTTTCCTCATGGCTGTTAATGTGCCTCAAAAATAAGGAAATGTGAAAACCAATAGATTCTGTGGCTACAAATTGGATAGTAACTAATGCAGACAGGGCTGGTTTTTTCCCCTTTGGGATCCTGAAAAGTTTTGCACAACAACAGCCAATGGGTTGGTTTCTGTTCCTTTGAAGAAAGCCTGTCATATTCAAGACCCTGTTTCCACTGAACATACTATCAGGATAGAGGTGGGGCTTTATTCTCTATTAGATTTGGGGGAGGGGGTTGATGTTTAACATATATTAATTGAATGTGTATTGAATAAATAAATTAAATATGGAAGAAGCTGTAGGAGTTTGATAGAAGCGTGTGGTAGGAATTAGAGCCAAAAGCTTTTTTTTTTCTTTTTTTTTTTTTTTTTCAGATTTCCTGACATTTCTTATGCTCAAAGAACCCATCTGAGTTGGCTATCATCATAAGTTGGTTATCACAGTATTTTAAATTGTCAGAAAAGAAAATTAGTCTTTCTTAAGATCAAACTAGGTTTTTCTGAGAAATCAGATGACCATAATCATTCACTAATCCATTCATTCACTGACTCAACAAATATTTGCCGAGCTCCTTCTATGCGTCAGACACAGTTCTAAGTGCTGGGGATACAGTGAATGAAACAAAGTAGCTGCCCTCAGGAAGCTTACATTCTAGGGGAGAAACAGACAATGAACAGAAAAAAACCCAAATAGGTATATACCTCAATGTGTGTTAGTCGTAAATGCTATGAAGAAAAATAAGGCTGGGGAGGGGAACAGAGGGTGATGGGAAAGCTAGTATTAGACAGAGGGGACAGGGAGACAAAAAATCAGGATGAAGTAGAAAGAGAAGCCATGTGAGCATCTGGGTGAAATAATAGAAATAGTAAGTGCAGAGGATCTGAGCAGGGATCATGTGCAGTGTGCTCCAGGAACAGCAAGGAGGCCAGCACAAGAGGCGTGGAAAACATAGCAGGAAGCCAGAATAAGAATGGCCTTGTAAGCCATTGTCATATCTTTGGATTTTATGCTAAATGTATTGAGAAGCCATTGAAATAGATACTCAGACTTCTCCTTTCATAGCTAGAATTTAAAAACTTGAGAATGAATACTCTAGAGTTCAAACAGGGCTCACACTATCAACCTTAGGCTCACAACAACCATTTTTCTATCAATTCTCCAAATGCAATTCCAAACTCTGCACTTGGGGGAAGGTAGACATTTTTCTTTAACAGTAGCAATCAGTCAAAGGTTTATCAATAGTAGGCCTTAACAAAAACCTGACAGCTTCCCATCAATAATAGGTGTTTGCAGGATCAAACCAAAGGTGAGCACCAGGAACAAGCCATTGACCATTGCGGTTCCCAGGAGGCCAAGATGGAACTCGACTTCGCTGCAACTTAGCCTATGCCAGGTCAGCTTATACGGAGAATCCGGGGTAGACATAACATCTATCTTGAATACTTTTTTAGATCTAGTTCTAGGAAACATAAATCTGAGGATAAGTCATTGTTTTAAAATAGTATTTTATTGCTTTCAAACACAGCCTAACTTCAAAGAAGACATTCCTAAGTGAAAGTACTTCTTTAATGACTCAATAATAAATAATATCCAATTAATGCAATTAAAATGCATTAAGCTCACAAAATGAGGTGCTGGTGCTGTTAAAATGACACCAGTTTTTGTGTTAGTCAGGGTAGGCTAGCAGC